AAGTGCAAGTGAAGCAGCAAGTACTGATATAAAAACTGAAACAAGTTACGTGAAGATATAGGTAAAATAACTGATGAAGGTAGCTACATTAAACAACACATTTTCAATGCAGATAAAACAGCCTTATGTTGGAAGAATATGCCATCTAGGACCTTCAAAGCTAGTAAGCCTCTGGCTTAAAAGCTTCAAAGGAAAAGTTGACTCTTTTTAGAAGCTAATGTAGCTGGTAACTTTAAACTGAAGCCAAAGCTCGGGGCCTTAAAAATTAGGCTTAGTATACCTTTGCTCTAGAAATGGAACAAACCATGGAGGATGGTACATCTGTTTACAGCATAGTTTATGGAGTATTTTAAGCCCACTCTTGAGAACTAATGCTCAGAAAAAGATTCCTTTCAAAATATTATTGCTCATTAACAACAACCTAGTCCACCCAAGAGCTCAGACAGAGATGTAAAGATTAATACAGTTTTAATGTCTGCTAACACAACATCTGTTCTGCAGCTCATAAATCAAGTTGTTGTTTTGATTTTCAAGTCCTGTATTTAAAAAGTACATTTTATATAGCTTCTGTAAGTAATGATTCCTATGATGGATCCGGGCAAAGTAAACTGAAAACCTTCTGGAAAGGATTTGCCATCCTAAATAGCATTAAGAACATTTGTGATTCATGGGAAGAGGTCAAAATATCAACATTAACTGGAGTTTGGAAGAAGCTGATTCCAGCTCTCATAAATGATTTTGTGGGGTTCAAGACTTCTGTAGAGTTAAGTCACTGCAGATGTGGCAGAAATAGCAAAACTAACTACAGAGCCAGAGGATGTGCCCAAATTGCTACAATCTAATAATAAACTCTAATGGATGAGGAGTTATTTCTTTTTGATGAGCCAAAAAGATGGTTTCTGAAGATGGAATCTACACCTGGAGAAAATGCTGTTAACGCTGAAATGGCAAAAAAGGATTCAAAATATTCCATAAACTTAGTTGATATAGCAGCAGCAGGTTTTTAGAGGTCTGACTTCAGTTTTGTAAGCTATTCTACTGTGGGTAAAATGCTATCAAACAGCAGCACCACATGCCACTGAGAATCTTCTGACTCACTGAAGACTTAGACTGTGAGCACTTTTTAGCAATAAAGTATTTTTTAATTAAGCGATAGTTGCTATAGTCTAATAATTAAGTTCTCAAACTTGCCACCATGTGCTTACACTGGCAGCACAGTACAAAAAGCTTGGTAAGGTTTCATAAGCTTAGTATATCAAGGTCTCACAGCTGTGTTCATGGGGACATGTGAAGGTGCCTTGCTGAGTGGTGTTCATTATTGCTGTTGTATGTGCCGTCAGGGGAATGTCAGTTTGAATGAGAGCAACAGACATTAAATTTCTTGTTAAACTTGGCAAGAGGGGAAGTGAAATCAGGGACATACTAGTTGAAGTTTATGGGGATAATGTCATGAAGAAAACGGGGTGTACAAATGGATTAAATGTTTTTCTGAGGGGAAGAGAAAGTGTCATTAAGAGAAGCAAGGGTGGCCAATAACAAGTAGAAGTGACAAAAGCAAAGCTAAAATTCATCAAACTGTGTGTCAAAATCATCAGCTTACTCTGAGAAGCATAGCAGAGTAAACACCAACAGAGAAACCAAGTAAACACCAATAGAGAAACAAAAAATATTAACTAAAAATCTTGGTGTGAGAAAAGGTGTGTGCAAAAATGATTCTGAAGGAGCTCACTGATGAAAAAAAGCAAAGTTTGCCAAGACCTTTTGGAGAGGCAATGTGATGTTTTAGGATGTGCTACCACTGGTGATGAAACATGAGTATACCAATACCACCCTGAAAACAAAGTGTCAAAATGCACAATGGAAGTCAGCCAAGTCTCCAGGACCAAAAAAGTTCAATCAGTCCAAATCAAGAGTCAAATAAATGTTGCTAATCTCTTTTGATATTAGAAAGATTATTCATTATGAGTTTGTGCCAACAAGACAAATAGTTAACCACGTTTACAAGGTTACCATTTGGAAGTGATGAAAAGGATTTGTGAAAAAGATAAAAACAACCTGAACTTTTTACCAACAACTCATGGCTCCTGCATCATGACAATGCACCAGCTCACAAACCACTGTCATAGAGTTTTTAGCCAATAAACAAATAACTATATTGAAACATCCTCCCTATTCACCTGATCTGGCCCCCATTGACTTTTTTCTTTACCCAAAGATAAAGGAAATATTGAAAGGGAGACACTTTGATGACATTCAATACATCAAGCTTTACTGATGGCCATTCCAGAAAGAGTTCCAGAAGTGCTCTGAAGAGTGGACTGAGCACTGGCTTCTGCCCATAGCTTCCAAGGGGGAGGGGAGTACTTTGAAGGTAACTGTAATGATATTCACCAGTGAGGTATGTAGTACTTTCTCTAGGATGAGTTCATGAACTTAACTATCAGACATTATTTTTTTAGATAATCCTTATTAATAGACTATAATACAATTGACTGAAACAATACAGGAACTGTGAAACTGTGCAGACCCACTTACACATGAATTTTCAATAAAAGTTAACACTGTGTCTGCCTCTCCTTCCACCTTTACCTGTTCCACTGCTGCCACCAGAAAAAGCAAGGCCAACTCCCTCCTCAGCTTTCTGCACATGAAGACAGGGATGAAGCCCTTTATGATGACCCACTTAATGAATAATAAATGTTTTTATTTTCTCTTTCTGATTTTCTTAGTAACATTTTTTTAGCTTACTGTATTGTGAGAATACAGTATATAATATATATATAAAATACATATTAATCAACAGTTCATGTTATATAAGGCTTCTAGTCAACAATAGGCTATTAGCAAAGTTTTGGAGGAGTCAGAGGTTATATGTGGATTTTCAACTGTGCAGGAGGTTGGCACTCTTTTCCCCTCCATGTTGTTCAAGGGACAACTATATAGCCTAAGCCTAACTTCTAAATGCACCGGGAAACCAAAGAGTTTGTGTGACTTGCTTTATTGCAGTGGTCTGAAACTGAACCCATAGTGTCTGTGAGGTATGCCTGCAATTTATACAAATTATGAAATGATCAAATTCTAATAGCGCCTATCCATTAATCCAACAAATTACAAGCAGTACCTAAGTTTCAAACATCCAACTTACATACAACTCACACTTATGAATGGAGGCTATTACAAATAATAGGTAAATGTATACAAATTCGACCTAAGAGCAAACCTTCAGAACCTATCTTGTTCATAACCCATGAATTGCCTGTATTTATTGAGCACCTACTATGAGGGAAGCACCATTCTAGGAAGCTGAGGATAAAGTAGTGAGAAAAAGATAAAATTCTGTTCCCACAAAACTTACAGTGTCATGATGGATTATAGCACTTTTAGTAACTGCCAAGTAACAGTCCCCTTCTACACTCAGCTTGAGCATATTATAAGCATAAAAATAACTATACTAATATTGTGAAAATTCTATATACTCAATTCCAAAGTACATACATAACTTACCTTACTAATCCCCCTGTTTTGATTGTTATTAACCTCTAAAGTATGTTACAGCTATCACTAAATTTTTAGAAGTTAAATGAGTCAATAAAATAATTTCACTCAACTTTTTATTATGCGTAATTTTAAACATACATGCTAGTAAGAAGATTAATAACACCTAATTTTATTTGTGACTATACACATAACTTTTGTTTCTGTTTATTTTACTGGAGTAATTAAAACGCATCTCAGATGTGCTATTTCACATGAGAATACTTGAGTGTCAGAAACCAGCCTCAACATGCGATGGGTTTACTTCCTAGTGGCCTGGTGGTGTGAGGAGATTGGAAAATTATTAGTAGGAGTTATAGAATGTTAATATAGAGAAATAATATACACAGACAAAGAGTTTTAAGAGTAGTGGGGCTTGAGAGGCAGCACACACTTCTTCATGAGGCTTCTAGCATGCCGTCCTGAGTATTTATTTCATACATTAGTGTTCCAGTCATAAATCTCATGAAAGCAAAGCAAACAATCCTATCAAGGTTCTTGCTACGCTTGCATTCCTACTAACTAAACTAACTCTACAGCTGATTATGTTAATTTCATGGATTTACTTGTTACTTTTTACTGCTTTAAAGTATTATGGTCTTAATGTAAACAAAGTCTTGACAACGGAACCAATCAGAGGCCGACTCAAGGACCAAATCCTAGCTGACCCACAGACCCTCAGTCATACACCACAGATGTGATGTTTTAATACTTTGACAGCCTTATATCCAAACAGATAAACTCCTCTGGCCTGATCAAGGTGACAGAAGAAAAGAGATCTTTCTTCTCCTTATCTGTTCCGGAGCAAGTTTCCCCAGTTAGACAAAGTTTAAAGAATTCACATTCTTAACTCCCAAAAACCACTCCTGAGAGCAAACAGCCTTTCCCTGGCAGAAAGCAGCTTTAAGGGCTCCCTTAAGGCTATGCCACAGCTTTGAGAGGTGGGGGTGGGGAGGAGATATAATATGCTAGGCTGCAGAAATATTATAATGACAGGATCTTACACTTTGTGCTCAGAGCCAAGAAAATGGGTCTGAATTGATTCCTCATAACTGTCTTCCTTTGTCTAAACTCTGTTCCTAATAATATTTCTAATCTACTAACAACTAATAATTGAGGAATAGTTTCAAACTTATAAAATCATTATTACTAGCAAGGCAAGCACATCAAGACATGACTCCTCCCACATGTACCCTTCACTTAAGCATGCATTACTTGATAAGGACCTCTATAATATCCAGTCTACATTTAAATTTCCACCGATTGTCCATAAGAGTGTAATTTCTGTTGGTTTGTTCTAATTTGAACTCAAATAAGACCCCCCACACTGTATCCCTCTAAAGCTTCTTTTTTCTTCCATAATGATAACCTCTTCCCTGAAATGTTTTTAATTTTTTTTTTCCCTTTGGCCAGGGCTGGGTTTGAACCCGCCACCTCTGGTATATAGGCCAGCGCCCAACTACCCCTTTGAGCCACAGGCGCTGCCCTGAAATTTTTTCCTTTTGTCCAGTAACTGATTTGTTGGATTTGATGAACTGCTGTTCTCTCACGGTATCAGTTAAATGGATCTGGCTGGTTGCTTCCTCATTGTGTTACTTAAGGATTTTGTTAATTCTCTGAATTCCCTCTAGTTCAGTGGTTCTCAGCCTTCCTAATGCCCGTGTTGTTACCAATTGAACAAGGGAGTCGCGACCCACAGATTGAGAACTGAGGCTCTCTTCGTTTAGACAGAAATTTGTTGTTGGTACTATTACACACTTTCTCTTGTATCACACCAGGAAGCATACAATGATAGACTGTTCTAGTTTCAAAACTAGAACATCTCTGCATTGTAAAATTTCCCATGACTCTATCATAATTAATGGTTTTCACATCAAAGAATGACTAATTATTTCATTAGGATTTTCAAAGTGATAATTTTTTTAGTCTATCATTTCTTTTGTACCTATTAACTGACATTCTTCTAAGAATTCTGCCTCAATTACTATTTTGCTATCTAAAATACAGGTTGTACAGGAATAACATCACTATATTTTCTCCTTTATTAATTCTCAAAGTAAGAAATTAATGCTTACTAATTCCTGATGGTAACCATTTTTTTTTGTTTTCAAATATTCTCTTAATAGCTTTTAGCTATTTTGTAGATGAAAAGTTTACAGTGCCAACTAAACTACAATACTCAATAGTTATGGATGAAATAAGTCTTTATAACCCTCTTTCACAGACTGGATAATTTTCATTATTGATATTTCCTTTGATTTAGGAATTATTTCTCTCTATAATAGAAGAAAAATAACACTCTGGTGAGTAAACATCTCACAAGGGTCTTCATAAAGCTCATGGAAACTGCATATTATGAAAACATGCACAGATTTCATAACTTTTTGTATCAAATAAACATACTTGTTATAACATGTCTGAACAGGATCTAGTCTGAGGCATTAGGAAGGATAAGACTCAGTGTGAAAGAGCCTCTATCAGAGCAACACGAATTCTGCTACAATTGAACAACATCAAATTTACAGTGAAGCTATAGTGGAAGAATGGTGAAATCACTGATGCAAAAAGTTTATGGGGACAATGCCCCCAAAGAAATCACCCATTTACTTATTTCAAGGAATAAGACAGTAAGATGAAAACTGCAGCAACAGACCATCTATATCAATTTGAAAGGAAAAAATTAATGTTGTTCATGCCTTAATTGAAGAGGACTTATGATTAACAGCAGAAACAAAGGTCAACATCATGGACACCTCAACTCATTCAGCTTACACAATTCTGACGCAAAAACTAAAGCTGAGTAAACTTTCTACTCAATGGGTGCCCAAACCAAAACCATTGCATCCAGATCTTTGGGTGGCAATTTTAAACAAGTTGAGACAAGTTGAAGCACTTCTTTGAAGAAATATAACCAGTATGAAACATGGCTTTACTGGGATGATCCTAATTTGCTTACTGACTTTTTGGAGGGCCAAAGAATGTTAGTATCTATTTATTATGAGAGCATGTTTAGAAAGTTAGCTAAAGGGTTAGCAAAAAACTCTCAGGACAGCTTCATCAAAGAGTTCTTATCTACCCTAACAATGCTTCTGCTCATTCTTCTCATCTAACAAGGGCAATTTTGCAAGAGTTCCAATGGGAAATCATTATGCATCCATCTTACAGTTCTAATTTCTGACTTCTTTCAGTTTCTCAAAAAATCTATAAAGGGCATCCATTTTTCTTTATTTAATAATGTAAAAAAGACAGCATTGATATGATTAAATTCCCAGTGCTCTTCGTTCTTTAGAGATGGACTAAATGGCCGGTATCACTGCTTATAAAAGTGTCTCCCCTCCCCCTATTTTCCATCATAAAGGGCAAATTCCTGGGGCCATCCTCATAGTAGCTCCCACGGACAACAAAGATTGTGAACTTCTAGATGCTCTCTGAGAAACTTTAAGTGTCTTGAACTGGATGTAGCTTATGTTGAGAAATAAAGTTTTTACTTCTTATTTTTATCTTTTAATTCCATTTTTCCATGAACTTTTTCAAGCCCCCTCATTTATTATTGAGGGTCAACAAACTATTCTTAGGGGTGAGTTCCCCTAGTTCTAAGGCAACTATATAAATGGCAATGAAAGACAGGCTAGGCCTGCTTTAGAATCTTTGATGATAGAAAGTCATTATCTATCTGTAACTACAGTAAAAGCATAATATTCTTCTGTTTGCAGGGATAAGTTTCACACTGAACATATTAAGTCATCCTGACCATAACACGATGCTCAGCAACTTGAGGAACAACTGCATGTGTAAAGAGACCCTTAACTTCTAAAGGTCATCAAAGAATCCCAGTTTTTCACAAAAGGTATCAAACGTTATTCATGAATAAAAATATGAGCAGAAAACGGTCTTGTTTAACTTAATGATAAGTCGCCTTTTTTTTTTTTTGAAATCCTGTATTTTGCCTGTTTGGTATTAAAAAGTAAAACAACTAACCTGGGTCCATTTATGATTATCACTTGTTATTGAATGTACATCACAGATTAAAGTCTAAACAAAATAAAAATTTAAAAGCCCATTAGTCTATACACAAACAAATGAAGACATTTAACAAGTAAGACTTTAAAATCTAAAATAATAACATTCCTTACCTGCATTGTTGGACGTAAGAGAATGTGCCTACTTTGGTAACCAGGAGATTTCATGTTACTGGACTGCCTATAATCACGTATTTCTGCTATGACACACCCGCAATGAAAAATATTAACCTGTTTTGGGAAAAAATACTTACATAACTATGTTTTTCAAAAGCCTAAATAAGTGGGGTTAGTTACCAAATGTTTCAAAATTCTTTACATGCATGTATTATTTCTGGCTATTCATATACTCTTCAACAGATTTCCCTTCACAGGATAAATGTTTTTGTTTTTTAACTTTTTATTAAATCATAACTGTATACATTTATGGGGTACAATGTGATGATTTGATATACAATGTGGAATGTTTAAATATAACTGATTAATGTGACCATCACCTCACTTATTTTTTTGTGCAAAGACCTTTATAATATACTTAGTTGTTTTGAAATGTACCATTCATTGCACTGTACACACTGGGTGAGATCCTACCAAATACTCTCCCCTCCACTCACCCTCTCCTCCCTTCTCTCTTCTCTGCCCTCCTTGCTGGACTATTTTGTGTTTTATCATTCATATGAATGTGTAAGTGATCATATATTCGTTTCATACTAGTTTTGAGTACAATGGATACTTTTTTTTCCATTCTTGAGGTACTTTACTAAGATTATGTTCCAGCTCCATCCAGGTATACAAAAAAGATGTAAAGTCTCCGTTATCTTTATATAGCTGCATTGTATTCAATGGTATACATATACCACAATTTGTTAATCCATTCATGGGTTTATAAGCATAAGGGGAATTATTTTATGTTCACTGACTTGAAGGGTTTAAGACTGTTTAGTGATTTCTAGTTATACATTGGCTTTGGGATCTACAAAGACAACACATCGACTTTTTTTATTTTTATTTTTTTTGAGACAGAGCCTCAAGCTATTCCCCTGGGTAGAGTGCCGTGGCATCCTGGCTCACAGCAACCTCCAACTCCTGGGCTCAAGCGAGTCTCCTGCCTCTGCCTCCCAAGTAGCTAGGACAACAGGCGCCCACCACAATGCCTGGCTATTTTTTGGTTGCAGCCATCATTGTGTTTGGTGGGTCCAGGTTGGATTCAAACCTGCCACCTTGGGTGTATGTGGCTGGCGCCTTAGCCACTTGAGCCACAGGTGCCAACCCAACACATCAACTTCTGGCATTTACATACTATTCATGTTACAGATTCTTGGAACTGCTGTTCTTCTGAAGCTCACTGGCTCACTGTATTCTCTGTTAACTTTATCATTATTAGAAAGTGTTTTTTATTATAAGTTGCCAGTTGAACCTGCCAGTTTCAGCTTCTACATTTAATTGTTATATTTGCTTCTGCTAAATTTCCAGAAATAAAGTCTTAGCCTTTTTTAATAAGAGAAAAGCTCACTATAAAATTCAAATTAAAAAAATTGTTTTCTAGTCTTTTCTGCACTCAAATGTAAATCTTTCATCATTGGGGTCTTGTTAGTTATAATTTCCCGTAGTCGTGTTTTTTACCCATTCAGAACTTTTAGTGGGTACTGTGACCTCCATGTTATCAGTCATTCTTATCCTCCTTCTTTATAACAAATACTGAGCAACTATAATGTATACTATGTGCTAGACACTATCCAAGAAGCTTCACAGATTCAGTGGTGAGATGATATAGAGTGTAGGAAGATAAGCAATAAACATGTAAACAAAACAAGATAATTTAAGATAGTGAAGAAGGCTACACAGGAAATAAAATAGGAAGGGGCTAATTTAGATTACATCTCAGATAACAACCTCTTTGAGGGAATGATGTTTCAGCTGAGATACACATGGAAATCGCAAGAGAGGGCTAAACATCTGGGACAGATCATTCAGATAGAAGAAGAGCAGATAAAAAGGTCTTACTGTAAAAATAAGCTCAGAGTGCTTAAAAATGCAAAGAAGGCAGGGATGGTTGGAATGCAATGAATAAGGATGAGAATTAGGAGATAAAGACAAACAGGAAATCAGAGGTTTTGTCCAGTAAGAGAGCACTGGAGAACTTAAAGCAGGAATACAATACATTTGCTTTTGTGCTTACTATTTTTATTTTGTAAACTTAATCTGGCTGTCTGTGGAGAACTAACTTCTAAAGTTCTGGAATAAAAGCAGGAAGTTCAGCAAGGTAACCATGGCAGGCAATGACTATATACTATGTATACAGACAGAAGAGCTGAAGAGCTGACATTTACTGATGGATTGAATGTAGAAGGTGAGAGTAGGATCATCAGTTAAGACTGGAGACTGGTGTAAAAATAGGTTTGAAGGTTAAAAAGTTCTGCTTTTATCATGTTAAATTTGAGAAACCTGTTATATATCCAAGATATATGTAAGTTAGGAGTGTGGTGGAATGACCAGGGGGAGACATGTAAGTAAAGAATTAAGTAACAGGCTCAGCACCCATAGCATAGTGGTTATGCTGCCAGCCACACACGCGGAGGCTGGTGGGTTTGAACCTAGCCTCAGCCAGCTAAACAAATATGACATTGTAGCGAAAAATAGCCAGGCATTGTGGCAGGCACCTGTAGTCCCAGCTACTTGGAGGCTGAGGCAAGAGAACTGCTTAAGCTCAAGAGTTTGAGGTTGCTATGAGCTGTGACACCACAGCACTTACTGAGGGCAACGTAGTGAGACTCTGTCTCAAAAAAAAAAAA